AGAGAGAGAGAGAGAGAGAGAGAGAGAGAGAGAGAGAGAGAGAGAGAGAGAAAGATAAAGAAAATGTATATAGCCATTTCATCTGAGCACAGCCTCATCTTCCCCTCATCACCAGGGTCAGGGGCCTGCCTCTGTCCATGGTGCTGAAAAGCTGGACAGCTTTATTTCTCTGTCCAAGCAGGAAGACCACATCCCTGTTCATACATTATTTTCACATGGAGCCAGGAGTGAAGCCGGAGTGCCACTGATCTCTGTGGTTTTAGATGTGCTCAGTCGAATGTTTAGATTGCTCCACATTTTTGCAGTTGTTTCACCCAGCTCACAGAACTGGATCAGCCAATCTCTGATCTATCCTATGACCCTGCCCCACATCATCCCTCCCCACCTACAACCCACATACACAAGGATCAGTCTCTCCTTCATCTAGTCAACTTGGAAGCCCTCGTTCAGAAAGCTCGCATGCAATTTTGGGAATTGTTCTAAATTAGCCTTGAAAACAAATCATTTGTTGACCAAGCAAAGTGGAGTGAAAATGATTCCTGCTGTTCACTGGCCAGGGGCAGCCACCACCAACTGCCTTCACAACCTCCCTGAACTCGAGCAAAGGGGGGCACGTTTGTCGCTACATCAGCACTTCAGCAGGGTGCTGATGAGGTCGCTTGAACTTCCCTGTCATGATACACTAATCGTAACAACCCAGCAGTCATTTTGGTAAATGGTAAATGATCTGGTTCTTATATATAACACTCTTCTACTCTACCTGATCACTCAAAGCACTTTTTTTTTACAGTTCTTGTAGGGAATATGCTTTTCTGTACTTGACACACATTTCTTTGTAGCTGCCCTAGCCACCCTTTCTTTTATGTGAGATTACATCAGTGTCACTCTGCAAAGACAAAAGCATAAACCTCCTGTTTTTATTCATTTAAGTGCAAGTTTAGAAAAAAAACAATTAAACAGTTGCAAATAAAACATAAGAGGTGGTCTTTTTTCACACTTGGTCTACTGATATAAATTATATATTCCAGAGATTATTAGGTCAAACCCCATCAAGTCTCTCCATCTTGTCCTTCTTCAGGTCTGCTACACGGGCACTTGTTGTGTTTACTGCTATTATGACATTTAATAGCATTAATATGATGACATTGCTTTTACTTAACATATGGAAGATGCTCAGCCATGAAGATGTGACATGCCTTTGATACAAGCAATAGTCATATCATTTCTTCCATTGCTTTACTGCGTAACTTTTAACAATGCTGTAACTCAGTTACTTCATATAGTTTTTATAATTACCATTATATGACACTTTTCTATGAACACAATTATACTGGAGATCCCAGTGAAAAGCATGTAGTTCCACCGGTGAACTATTTACTGAATTCATGTTTCCCGTAGCTCCTAATTATTAGGGACAGGGATTGGAGGAGTTATGGATGCAGCGTGAGCATGTGGATTGCAGGTGGGATAAAACTGATTTAACAATAAAGGAAAGGTTGTTTTCACAAAGGTTATCATAGTCAACTAAAACTAAAATTCAAACTAGATGTGAAAAAACATTTTAGTCGACTAAAATAAAAAAAAAAGGCTCTTGAAAAATATTAAGACTGAAACAATTGTGTCAACTTTCAAAACTAAAAACCAATAAAAATGAGACTTTGTTGGTGTTTATTGAGACTCTGTTTGTGAGTCTGCTGCTTTCAAGTGTCTGTGTTTTTATTGTCACTTCTGCAATGACTTCCTAAATCCTGTCTCTGACATGTGCCCTCCACACAGCATATATTACAAAGACTACAATGAACACAGAAACTAAAAAAAACTACAATTGAACATTTTCAAACAATAAAAGCTAAACAGAACTTCACTCTTACTGAAACTAAACTGGCTTAAAAGAAGAAAAAAAAATCAAAATCAAAATGAAATCAAAACTAGTTAGACAATACAAAACTGTAATGACTCTGGTTTTCACACATTATGGCTCATTCTATTCCACTAATTTGATACCTAGAATTTTGCAGCGGTGATTGTCTCGTGGACCCCAAACAGTAGTGCTTGTGTTTGTGGGGGTCACCGGGCTATTTATTTTGCCCATATAAAGCGCTAAGTGTCAGGCCTTGAAGTGAATTCCAAGAAAATCTGAATCTTAAAGGCTCCCACTGATAGAGGAGAAAATCATTATCAGAAGTGCTGCCAAACACTCGTGTCACCATGTGTGCCAATAAATGTATAGCAACAGGTTTTTCTTCCCTTTAACTTTTTTTTAAGCCCTTCAATGTCATTTCCCATTGAGAGAAACAGAGACACACCAGCGTGTCCAATCACAGGCTAATGATTCACGGTGCTTCGCAGTGCATCAAAATCCCACGCAGCCACCATCGACTGTTCATTCAGAAATTTCTTTTTCACCCCGCTCTCCCTTCCCCGCGTCTCCTTCCGTGCGGGTTCGCTGTCCGTGGTGCTGAAACCCCCAAAACGACTGTCCATGGTGCCGAAACACCCGACCCAGTAACCACCAGGTAGGCTAAGCCTTTGTCTGCGCCCTGCTCTTAGCTGTGTTTGACACAGGTTTCAAACCCCGTGATCTTCATTTGCTTAGACCCGCTTATTTATGTAAACACATTTGTCTGTGAGCTCGGCTGCGGAGTTTTAGGCTTTCATTTGCAGTATGCGACTACTTTAATGGCTTAAAATGTAAATTCTGCGAAACGTTGCAAAAACCGCGCGGGGACCTTGAACGCAGCCCGCTCGGAGTACTACAGTAACACCACACTACAGTTACTTTCATTTTTTCACCCTCTTCTCCTCTCTCGTCTCGCGATAGAGCGGCGGAGCGGTTTGACGGGCAGTCGAGGTTGCAGCAGGCAGAGGGAGACGGTGGAAGGTAAAGCAGGGAGGCAGCATCATGGCGGACAGAGACAGTGGCAGTGACCACGGAGGGCCCACCGCAGGCCCCGGCTCGCTGCCTCCGGGCGCAATGGGCGCCATGTCCCGGCTGCAGCACGACACCGAGGAGCTCGCCTCGAAGCGCGTCGACATCCAGAACAAGCGCTTCTACCTTGACGTGAAGCAGAATGTTAAAGGCCGCTTCCTAAAGATAGCCGAGGTCGGGGCTGGGGGAAACAAGAGCCGCCTCACTCTCTCCATGTCTGTCGCCGTGGAGTTCCGCGACTATCTCGGGGACTTTATCGAACATTACGCCCAGCTGGGCCCGACCAACCCGGACATGGTGCAGGATGAGCCCCGGCGGGCGCTCAAGAGCGAATTCCTGGTGCGGGAGAATCGGAAATATTACATGGATCTGAAAGAGAACCAGAGGGGGCGGTTCCTGAGGATCCGACAGACCGTTAATCGGGGGCCCGGATTGGGAAGCGCGCAAGGCCAGACCATCGCTCTGCCGGCGCAGGGTCTCATCGAGTTCCGCGACGCTTTAGCCAAACTCATCGACGACTACGGCGTGGACGAGGAGCCGGCGGAGCTCCCGGAGGGCACCTCGCTCACTGTCGACAACAAGCGCTTCTTCTTTGACGTGGGCTCCAATAAGTACGGGGTGTTCATGCGGGTGAGTGAGGTGAAGCCCACGTACCGGAACTCCATTACGGTTCCCTGCAAAGTGTGGTCCAAATTCGGTAACACCTTCTGTAAATACGCGGAGGAGATGAGGAAGATCCAGGAGAGGAGTAGAGAGAAAAGGGCCTCGGAACTGCTACCTGAGGGCCCGCACGGCGGAGACGACGGCGACGATGACTGACGCGGATTTTAGGAGAGCTGACATGAAACAACCGAGACAACGTTGGACTCTGAAGAGAAAAAAAACAACCCAGACTTTTAACTGTAAAATAGAAAGAGAATCTACAAGGGAATCACCCCACACACACAACCTCCACAGACATGGCAGCACCTCTGCTGTCTCCTCGCTCATTTTACTGGATGTCACCCCACTTACCACCCATGTAACAGTAAGCCGCTGCTATCAAGGACTGAACTGTAAGATATGAACCGTTTCCTACTTGATTTAAGTGACAATGAACAGAGTGTTTATATCTCTATCGATGACAGATTTTGCACACATCAAAGCTATTTCACAAAAAAAAATGTTTAAGTGTTTTAAAAACTGGTAATAGACTTAAGATTTAATCAAAATAAAACCAGAGGTTTAGAGTATAAAGTCTTCATGGAGAAGGAATATTTGACATCAGCACAAAGAGGATATATTATGGACTTTATGAAACCAAAATCCGAATCCAGATGTATAGTTTATTATAAAGGTACGCAGAATAAATATGGCAATGCTCAATGAGTTGCAGAAGGCAGCACTGCAGGCCTTGTAAACACCTGTCAGCATGCGTGTAGGCACATGTTTTGAAAAGAAGTTGGCAAAGTAGGCTGTAGTCTCTAATTTGGCCTAAACGTAGTCGGCTAATGGAAGCATTTCTCTCATGCCATTATGGAAAAGGTTGAGACACAAACCTAAATAGCCTATGTGCGCCTCAAACAAATGGGTTAAACCTATCTCTGAGCTACTCTATTGAATATCAACCCTCTTGCACCATGTCCACATAAACTTAAATGAAAAAAGTGCTAACTTAGATGTACTAATTATGATTTTGTGAATCAGCTGTAAAAAAAAATTCCTTATTAAGATGCCCACGTTTTCTGTGGGATTTTTTTCTTTACGTTGTTGTTTTTTGTTTTTTCTTTTCCTCAAGGTGGTGGGGGATGCAAAAGGATATTAAAAAAGGTCCATATGTGGGAGCGCAAGGCGCAGAAACAAACAGACAAAAAAAGACGCGTCAGCGCAGCGCGCGGCGAGGCAACGCATCCTCTCTGACGTCATTACGACCCGTGCCTTATACACTCCACTCGTTTACGTGTTCTCACGTGGATGGTCTGTGACCTCGACCGCTGTATGTTTTCATTTACGAGTGCTGTTATGTAGGCAGAAATATATACTCACCAGGGCTGTGGGATTCACACCCCTGCAGTGCATGGAGCATGCGTGGCAACACCAAAAGTAAAGCTGAAAGGCTGCTGGGAGCTGGGGGCAGGGGGTGGGTCCAGTTGTGTTCTTGGGTGTTGTTGGCACTTTGGGGGCTATGCATGTTGTGCTATGGCGCAACATGGAGCCCAGCATCCCTAGCCGCACCCCTGGCTCAACGGACTGATCGGTGCCCCCCGAGATCTCACTGAGTGTGCGCGAGCGTGGAAAGTAAGCTGGAAATGTTATGGGTGGCTTTGCTCACCATATGCACCATGATGTTAAAAAGAAAAACGAAAAATGAAAAAAACAGCAACAACAACAAAAATATATAAATACAATAAAAATAAAAAAACGAAAACCCAGGAGCGGCTGGATGAGGCTTATTTGTCAGAGCTGAGATGGATGCTGTTAAAGAGCCAGGCAGTCAGCCAGCCAGGCAGGCCAGCCGGCCGGCCGGTCCCATGCAGTCAGTACGAATGCGGTCCAGCGGATGTAGAGGCCTATCAGTGCAGGGCCGAGGCAGTGTCTATCTCTTTATGGTGCTACAGCCCCTTGATCGCTCCTTGGGGGCCTCGCCGCTCAGAATATGTCACTTTTGCATTGTTATTCTGATGCTTCTTTTTTTCCCCTTTCCTCCACAGTATGTCGTCCAAAACGTGTCAGGTTTCCCCTCCCAGCCAGAGACGAAGCCACTGACTAGTGTAGGACATTTTATATTAGTGTGCAATATTGTGTACGTGCCAATCGTGGCATTGTATCACGTGTATAGACGAAAAAAATGTATAGGCTATGTGATCAGTAGATATTTGAAAGCATGATGATGAAGTGGATGCATCGCATTATATTTCCAAAATGTGAAGACTTTTACTTCTCGAGGTGAAAAAAGTCAGACTCGTTGTGAGTTTTTTTGAATTGTTTTTCTTCCTGTCACTTTCTGTAAACCAGTAGGCTGCCTTGTCTGTCTCTCAGTGCGCGTAGACTAGCTCGGGTATTTTACGTCCTCCCTTAGGAAAACGAAAAAAAAGTTCTCCTCCAAACACACAACACAGACCGTCAACAACCTCTGACTGTCTCCATGTTGGCCCTTCTACACTAAGCTTGAATAGTATCTTGGGACTTGGGTCCAGGGGTGGCTGGCATACACACACATACACGCACGCACACACACACACACATACTCTCCCCCTGTTAAGGCCTCTTGTTGATATCTGAGTGTTTGGGAGGCCTCTGAAGTGTTTTGAATTGTGTCTAGAACTGCACAAGGCCTCCTGTCATTAGGAGAAAGAGAACTGTGTGCTTGGAGCCTGAGTGCGAGCCCTCGCTCACCTGGGACTGCAGTACAGGTGAACCGCAGTTTGACTTAGGCTTTTCTGGGGTTTCAATCGAGCCGGGTGATAGCGATCAGCCGCGGCAGAAGCCAAAGGACAGAGGAGTTTGTTGTTGTTTTCATGGCGAGGATCACAATCCCCTCTGATGTGGGAAGACTCTTGTCGCAGTCTCGCTCCCTTTCCCAGGCGTTAAAAAAAGGCTTGTTGCTTGTGCACTATTCATCACTTAGGACGTGTAGTCCATCCCTTCATTTTGACTCAGCTGACTCAGCCCTGCACTGAGGTCCTGCTGAACTCTCAGTGTGTTAAATACGACTGAGCCTGTCGGTGTGGCATGCCACCTAGCTGACGGGAAGGGAACACTTTAGAGGCCTCAGCTGGATAAAAGCGGCTAAAAGCGAGGCCTACCGTGTATGTAGGAGAGCTGAGGCCGGGCCGAAAGCAGAAGTCCCCGGAGCACACTTGGGCTCCTAAGGTGTCACAAGTTCAATCCTTAGTTTTAAAAGCTGATTTGTGTCTGATTGGCTGCGTTTGTGATGGCAGGAGAAGAAAAAAAGGTTCCAGAAAATCCCATCTGTTCACCACAGGACTGTTTCTGGCCCACGTTTGTCTCAGTGACAGTGAAAGGCCCGATGAAGCCTGGCACTGCACTGTAAGGGCTTACCAGCAGCAGCAGCAGCAGCCTGCCACAACCTTCCAACCCGGCTGCAGACAGATCGAGTTAGGACCTTTCTCTCTGGAAATCTCTTCCACTTCTTACAGAGATGATTATATTTCCTCACACTGCCCTCAATACAAAAAACATTTATTTTCATTGAATGCACGTACAAACCACCTATGACTATGTGCCCAGAAAAGCACATCTGAGGTCAACCTGAGTTCATCTTGAGGTCACCGCGAGTCTGAAGTCACTGTGGTGATACAGCACTTATTCCCCAAAGTGTTCTAGCTTTAGCCTGACTGACTTTAATCATGTCTGCTACATGCTAAGACTGGAAATACGACGCTTCCTTTCTCTTTTTCTCTAATGGCCAAATATGAGGAGAGCCTGAACATGCTCATAGAGTTCACTTTGTGAATGCCTCACTCTGTGAAACGCACACATTGTTCGCTTCTTTTTTTGTTTTCAAAAAAGATTTAAACATGTGTTCTTTTGTTTTCTCCAGGTGCTACTGGGTCGGTTGTGTTTTTAGCTTTGAACGTGGCTTTTTCGGGTCTTTGTCTGAAGCGTACTTCCGGTGCGATCAAACCTGATTTTGTGAGACCTTTACCTGGAGTCACCTCGCAACCACGTTGTGCCCACATCTACACAGTCATCCATCTCTAGGACTTAAATGCAGCATGGTAGGCGGATGCCGTTCGTCTCGTTTTCTGTGTCAGCGGACGTGATGGTGTGCCGTCTTCGGGTGGCTCCGGACGGGTTGGATGTGCATGAGCGATGCTGCTCTGTGCTTGTTAGCGCCGTTTCAATTATTTTCTCCACAGCAGCAGCCATCATAGTGATCTCTAACCATGATGTTAACCGAACTTTCGCCCGCAGTATTCATTTGTCAGATTTGACTTAAGTGTGCCGTTTTCTTCCGTTGATCAGACTACAGGTAACCAGACCATTCCTGGTCAGACTGAGGAGAGGTTAAGTTGTAGATGCAGCGATATCTACTTGCTGCACGCACCTCAGTGTCAGATTGCTAGGATGGCTCCGCTGTAGGTGGGAAACAAACCGTCTATATGACGGTTTAACAGAAAACTTCCACAAATGAAACGCGGCTGCCGGCTCGCGCCTCCACCAGACTATACGAGTACTAACTAAAAAAACAAAAAAAGTAAAGAACTGACTGAACTTCTGTTAAGGTGTTCAAAACAACCAAATGTGCTCTGTTTCTGGTTTCCAGTGTTGTAGTCTTTCATTGGCCATTCGGACTTTCTGGTTAATCACACAACCAATCGCAGCCTCTGGTCAAAGCCAAGCACTATATGACTCATTAGAAAACCACAGACAGAGGAGCTCATTCAGCATGTCTTCTGTTTGCACACGCACCGAGCAGTAGGGTCCACCGTGTTCGCAGACTGTAAAAGCTACTGTTGTGTATAGTTCTTGAAGACGTCCTTGAAGCTGTTCTGGAGATGTTGGGTTAAATGGATCCTGGATTTTTAAGGGGGTGGGGTCAATGCACAATGAACATATCCCATTGTCACCGTTTGGTCTCAATCCCTTTACCATCCCCATAAGAGATAATATGTTGTATCTTTCGAAAATATTTTATCTGTGGCGTGTGTGTGTGTGTGTATATATATATACATATATATATATGGTTTGTTATATATGATGCTCCTCCTTTCAGAAAAATATAACATGTAAACAGGAAAAACATTGCTGTTTTTTTCCTTTGTATTTTATACTTACAGAAAGCATTGAATAAAAATGGATAAATACTTGCACTTTAGATATATTAAGAAAAATAAAAATCTGCATATTATTTTTGATAGGGATCTCACATTTAAAGAGTATAAATTACAGGCTTTGTGACTATTGCTGGACAGAGATGTATTGAGTTCTACTTATTGAAGTATATTTTGTCTGTGTCAGAAGGTTTACTAAAGTAAATTGCATGATAAAGTAGTGCTACACCGATATTGGTTTCTTTTGTTCGTTTTATTTTGTTTTTTTAGTTGATAAAATGTCTGAAAACTGTGATAACGACCCTCTTGTATCATGTTTAACCTCTCCTCACCCATTCTAGGATATTTCTTACTGAAATATGGCCTTTTCCTGACTATATGACGATGGTGCTTACTTTGGCTTTGACATCGAGCTCATCCTATACATCTCGACATCATCATCATAATTCGCGTCCTTACACTCCATTTCTTTCTGTTATGTACTCTCACTACCTTATTAAATTTCCGTTGATGGCAAAAAAATAAAACAAAGGTGTGCTGTTTTGTACATTGCTGTTTGTTTTAATGTTGAGGGAGCTTTGTTGTCTGAAAAATGACTAATGGCGCAATAAAATGTCATTCCACATGTCCTGGTCTCTGCATAGCTGTCTTTAACTTCACAATGGTCAGTTTTTTATCAGACCCGGGCTCGATGAACCCCAACCAGCAGGAATTGCTGACTGAATTCAATATACTATTACCAAAGTTATTAGTTTCTTTTTTTTAAGGAAATCTGCCAAGTTTCTATGCACAACGAGAAAGACAATATACACGACATTAAGTTACCCTTGTTCATTCTACCCAAAGAAGCTCTCACCTATTCGGACAGGAAGCTGGACCTCTCACGGTGTCCCGGCAGGGTGGTGCCTCTATCAGTCAGGCTCATTTATGCACATCCTGCCACTGTGTGATCAGATTGGGATCAGGAAAAGTCAGCACCTTTGACTCCCTGTTGTGTTTTCCAGGCTTTCTTGGGCTGTATTTGGAGCGTGCTGGGGCACATGTTGTCATACGCAACCATAACGTTTCTGCAGCCGCCACGTGTCAGAGTTGCATCTGCTCGAATGCAAAGCTCTACTAGCAGAACATTGCACTGCAACAAGATGATTGATGTTATTCACTTTACCTGCCTATGGAGCTCGGAAAGATAGTAACTGGACTTCTTTAAATTTCTTGAAGATGTTTCACCTCTCATCCAAGAGGCTTCTTCAGTTCTAAAAGCCTCTTGGATGTGAGGTGAATTGATTGGTGGAGAATCTACACAGACACTTTACCTGTCAGTGATCTTTTATAACCGTGGGGAAGACTGCTGACTTGACAGTTGTCCAGATGATGATCGTCGACACCGTCTGTAAGGACAGTTAGCCACAGAAGGCTCCTGAAAAGACTCGTTGTTCACAGAGTGCTGAATCGAAACTTATTCATGGAAAGTAGATGGGAAAGGGAAAGTATCAGAATCAGAATACTTTATTGATCCCTGGGGGAAATTATTTTTTGTTACAGTGCTCCATTATAAACCAACATTAAGACAAGACAGAC